ACAAGCCTTGCCTCCTTAACCAAACTGGTCTGACTTAACCTGTCTTAGTATCTGTGAGGCAGCAGAAAGAACCACAGACTCAAGAGCAGGAGGGGGTCAGTTGTGGACGGGAATATGCCACACAAAACATCACCTTGGGAATACCCTGCCATTTTCCTCTCTCACTCCCTCCTCTCTATCCCTAAAACATAAGCAAGCTGACAGTTGTCACACAAATTTGGTTATCTCAGCAGAATCCCACTCTCCAGATCAATGCATACAAGGGGAGGGCTGGGACAGAAGCCATACCCAATGGAGTGTCTGAGCTAGGTCTCCAGTTTCATGTTTGTTTACTAACCCACAGTCATGCTCATCTGCCAACACTCTCTGGCCTTGGGGGGATTCCTGGGTTGTTCTCCCAAGAATGTCCTACCACCCTCCCTCACTCCCTTTCTATGTCTTTTCCTGTTGGCAGCCTACTCATCTCTGCAGCTCTCACTGGCTTTCCCTTGTTAAGACAATGCTCAATGTCTTTTTCGTCTTTTGTTTGTTTTTGAGACAGAGTCTAACTCTGTCACCCAGGCTGGATTGCAATGGCATGATCTCAGCTCACTGCAACCACTGCCTCCCGGGTTCAAGTGATTCTCTTGCCTCAGCCTCCCAAGTAGCTGCAATTACAGATGTCTGCCACCACACCCAGCTAATTTTTGTATTTTTAGTAAAGATGGGGTTTCACCGTGCTGGCCAGGCTGGTCTCAAATTCCTGACCTCAAGTGATCTGCCCGCCTCAGCCTTCCAAAGTGCTGGGATTACAGGCATGAGTCACCACACCCGGCCTCAATGTCTTAATATGACCCACAGGGCCCTAGGAGAACTTTGCACTTGATGCTGCCCAAGGCTCCCATCCTTACTTATCAGTTGACTCAGTCTCACTAAATTTGGGGGATTCTTTGTAGATGTCACATCTTCTGAAAAGTCTTCCTTATGTGCCAGCGCCCCTCCCCCAACTGACAGGTGTACTGTCCCTACTCTGCTTCCAGCATCACTCCATTTTGGAATTATTTATGCATATTTATCTTCCATTAGACTGTGAGTTGTGTGTCATGGGGACTCTGTATCATTCATTCACTGCCACAGAGCACAGAAGTCCTTCAATTAATATTTGTTGAAAGAATAGAAAAAGTAATCAATAATAAAATGTTCAGCAAATCAATGAGTGAGTGGAATGCCTGCACTAATCATGTTTCTGGCACTTACTAATGCATGGCTTTTGGAGAGTGCTGTATCTTCCTACCTCTTGCTTCTGTTCCTCACCTGTGAAATTGAAGCACAGTTGACCCTTGAACAACACAGGGCGAATCGCACAGGTCTGCTTATACACAGAGATGTTTTTCAATAAAAGTTACACCAAGTGTGCCTGCCTCTCCTGCCTCCCCTTCCATTTACTCCACCTCTTTCACCTCTGCCACTCCTGAGACAGCAGGCTCAATCCCTTCTCTTTCTCCTCCCCCTCAGCCCACTTCATGTGAAGATGATGAGGATGAAGACCTCCACTATGATCCACTTCCACTTAAAAACTAGGATACAGATTTTCTCTTCCTTATGATTTTCTTAATAACATTGTCTTTTCTCTAGTTTACTCTATTGTAAGAATGCAGTATACAATACATATAGCATGCAAAATATGTATTAACTGACGTTATGTTAATGGCGAGGGTTTCAGTCAACAGTTGGCTAGTAATAGTTAAGTTTGGGGACAGTCGAAAGTGATACACAAATTTTCGACTGTGGGGAGGGTCAGCAGTCCTAACTCCTGCATTGTTCTAGGGTCAATTGTAATGACAGCTTCTCCCAAGAGTATAGCAGTGAACTATATCCTTTATAGAAGTAAAGTTTCTGCCCTTAACTCACAGTCTAGAGTGATGGAGAGGGACAGAAAATGAACCAGTATTTACCATACAGAATAAATTTGAAAGCACAGAGTAAAAATTTCCAGACTATTCTAGAATAAGGGATAGGACAAGTAAATATATGGAATGACAAACAGGAAATAAATGTAGGGCAAGAAAGCAAAGCAGGGCAAAAGGCATGGGGGGTATCATGTTGGAGAGGTTGGTTGTCACATAAGATGATCAGAAATAGTCTCTCCTTTGGGAGGCAGAGGCGGGTGGATCACGAGCTCAAGAGATCGAGACCATCCTGGTCGACATGGTGAAACCCCGTCTCTACTAAAAATACAAAAATTAGCTGGGCATGGTGGCACATGCCTGTAGTCCCAGCTACTCAGGAGGCTGAGGCAGGAGAATTGCCTGAACCCAGGAGGCGGAGGTTGCGGTGAGCCGAGATCGTGCCATTGCACTCCAGCCTGGGTAACAAGAGCAAAACTGTCTCAAAAAAAAAAAAAAAATACTCTCTCATAAGGATATGAGAAAGCAATAATGCAGTTAGTTGAGGAAAAGGAATCCAAGGCAGAAAGGACAGCAAGTGCAAAGTATGAAGCTAGCCCAGGTGAGGGCGTCTGAAGGAGACCCTTGTCTTCTTATTCCCTTTCTCTTGCATTCACTTTCCCAGGGAAGAACCCCAGAAGCTCCTACCAAATGCACCCACTGCATCTGAAAACAACTTCTGCCTTCAGTATCTGATGTCTTCCTACACAGCCAGCTGGGCTAAAAATCAGATACCTGCAGGTCTTCTTTGCCTATTCTCATTTGACCTAGGAGCCTGGGCAGCAAGTTACCTGCCTCTTCCCTTCTGGTCTTCATATCTTCATCACTGAAGATCCCTGAAGATAATGCTCTTCTAAGGACAGTGATCCCAAGGCAATGGGAGCCAACGATGGAGGGACATTATCAAATCACCGTTTTATAAAAATAAAAAATATTAATTTGTCTGCAGTATGAACCATACATTGGAGAGAGCAAGCTAGCACAGGAAACCCAGTTAGAAGGCTGTTGCATCAGTCCAGTGAGCCATGATGGGGTGACCTAAACCAAGGAACAGCAATAAGGACAGAAAGGTATGAAGATGGTAGAACTGATGGGGCTTGGTAACTAATTAAATGTGGGCCCATGTGGAAATGGGAGGGCTCAGTGATGACTTTGGCTGTCACTCTGGCAACCAGAGTTTGGGAGTGCCACTCACTGAGACAGAGAAGAATAGCAGAAGGAGGGTAGAGAAAGATGATGTTCTTAACCACAGCCTGGACTATCTTAGGGTTTGTTAAAGAGCAATCAACAAGGATATAAGGGAATCCATGTGCATGTAATTGAACAGATGAAACTTACAAGTGTAAATAATTAGGGGATATTTTGAAGCAGGACATAAATAGTTGCAAAAATATATGCTTGGGACTGCCAAGTGATCCAAAGGATGCAGGGAGGCTTGAGGTTGTGTGGCAGTAACAAGGAAAACAGATGAGACCGTGATTGAGTTTTGAAGATTTAAATGAGTGGAGAGAAATAAGTGATGAGGAAATGATGACCAGGCTGGTTGCCTAAACAAAGTCACAGCTGTAGGTGTGAGGGAGCTGTGTGTCAGAAGCACTGAGTCAAATAAATATATAAGAATTATCCATAGCTGTAGTCCAGGCTGCGCTGAAATTAGTGAAGAAATCACGATACTGGTGAACAAAAATTCTGGGAATGTAAGTTGTGCAAGGTGGGCAATGGTAAATGTGCGGGGTTTGGTTGAAGGGCCTGAGTTGTGAAGTTCGATAGGCTTCTGTTCACATCCTGGAACCTTTGCTAATGAACATGATGCTGCTGGGCCAGTGAATTCATCTTTGCTAGTCTTAAGTCCCGTATGTGAGAAAGAGAAAAGTAGTACCTCACTATTCTCTGATGAATACATGAGATGGTACAGAGTAAACACTCAACATATGTTCATTCCCTTCTGCCACTCATTTTGAGTCCTGGTTCATCATGAGATATTTGAATGGCCGGCGTCCCCGATATCAGGCTGTATGGAATTGGTCTCAGCATCAGTTGACACAAAAGGAGTTCTTTAAGCTCATGGCAGCATAGAGAAACCACTATAAACTAATCTGCTTATAGGATGAGTTGTGATCTTAAGCCTGAACATGTTGAATATGACGAATAAATTGCAAATAACTTACAGGTGTCAATGCCATGTGGGTGTGGTATCAACTGGCCGCTGGTCTGCCCTCATGAGTCGATGAACCAATCTCCTTAGCCAGGAGGTGCAGGGCACCGCTGAGTCTCACTTATTTCTGCTGCTGCCCTGGCCCTCCTTCCCTGCTTCCATATCCGGGTGTCAGTGCTGACTTCAGCTGTCTCAGATTTAGTCCTGAAAGTTACAAGCTTTGTGCAATCAGAAGACTAAATGCTGGTCTGTTGCTGTTGCTCATAAACTGCAGTTTGAGTGAAATAGCTTGTTTTTCATTAATACGTATTTTTCTTTTTCTCCTTTTCTAAAAATTGATGTGTTTAATTTATTTATTTTTTATTTCCACACCTACTCATATTCCTCAGACCACCTTCCCAATGAGCAACTATTCTAAAATTCTTAAAGCACAGGCTGGGTGCGGTGGCTCACCCCTATAATCCCAGCATTTTGGGAGGTAGAGGCAGGCAGATCACTTGAAGTTGGAAGTCCAAGACCAGCCTAGCCAACATGGCGAAACCCTATATTTAATACAAACACAAAAATTAGCCAGGCATGGTGGCAGGTGCTTGTAATCCCAGCCACTCGGGAGGCTCTGGCACAAGAATCACCTGAACCTGGGAAGCGGAGGCAACTGAGTTGAGATCACGCCACTGCACTCCAGCTTGGGCAACAGAGTGAGACTCCACCTAAAAAATAAGATAAAAATTCTTAAAACACATCCTTTTATATATGTGTGTTTCATGAATGGACTAAGTGATAATATACTTAATGGATTAATAATAGAAAAGTTAAATTCTTAAAACATATCCTTTTGTATGTATGTATTTCATGAATGGACTAAGTGATAATATACTTAATGAATTAATAATAGAAAAGTTAAATTCTTTTTTTTTTTGGGGTACCAAATCTTTTTATTTGAAGGAATGGTACAAAGAACTTAAGTGGATGTTTTGGTACAACTTATAGAAAAGGTAAAGGAAACCCCAATATGCATGCACTGCCTTGGTGACCAGGAAGCCACCCTGTGGCTATGGGGAAATTAGCCAAATTAGCCAAAGGCTTAGCTTTCATTATCACTGTCTCCCAGGGTGTGCTTGTCAAAGAGATATTCTGCCAAGCCAGATTGGGGTGCTCCCATCTTGCGCAAGTTGGTCACGTGGTCACCCTATTCTTTGATGGATTTCACCTGCTCATTCAGGTAATGCGTCTCAATGAAGTCACACAAATGGGGGTCATTTTTGTCAGTGGCCAGTTTGTGCAGTTCCAGTAGTGACTGATTCACATTTTTTTCCAAATGTAATGCACACTCCATCGCATTCAGCCCGCTCTCCCAGTCATCATGGTCTGGTTTCTTGATATCCTGGAGGAAGATGCGGCCACCTCGTTGGTTCTGCAGCTTCATCAGTTTCTCGGCATGTTCCCTCTCCTCATGAGACTGGTGAAGAAAGTACTTGGCAAAGTTCTTCAAAGCCACATCATCTCGGTCAAAGTAGTAAGACATGGACAGGTAAACATAGGAGGCGTAGAGCTCCAGGTTGATTTGGCGGTTGATGGCGGCCTCTGAATCCTGGTGGTAGTTCTGGCGCACCTGCGAAGGTGATGAGGTCGTCATGGCGGCGGCTAAGGAGAGGCGGCGGCGGCTAAGGAGAGGCGGCGACGGCGGTGGCTGCGCGGCGCTGGAGAGGCGGGGGCCTTGGGACGATCCGAGGACGCGGTGTGGAGGTGACGGAGGGCTGGCTGTAGGCGGCCGGCCGGGGTGGGGGACGAGCGCCGGGTTCCGTCCTAGCACTGTTGAAGCAGGAAACCGCGGCGACTCTCGGCGAAGAACGTCTCTAAATTCTTAAAACACATCCTTTTGTATGTACGTATTTCATGAACGGACTAAGTGATAATATACTTAGTCAATTTTTTTGTTCTTCCTCCTCCTCCTTGACTTCCTTTCCTGGGCTGTGAACATCTCCAGGATGGGCACATGCCTGCTTAGTCTCTCCAAAGCCTAAGTCTCTCAAGAGTTTAGAACAGTCTCCACATAGTGATTCTCAAAAAAACAACAAATTCTTATGGGTCCAGGTTGAACCAAATTCTACAATGTTCCAGAGACTTAAAGACTTCACGCATGAAATCTTTGTAATGCAATTGAAAATGGTTTAATTATGCCTGCTGACAATTTGTGGACGCAGCAGCTGAGCTCTCTACAAACTGACAATAAAGAACCAGTCAGGGCTCTGAAAGAGAACTCAAGGAGTAAACAAAGGGCTTCAATCCAGGGAAATGATTGTGATTCTTATACAAACGGTATCACTTGATTCTCTTGTTCCAGACTGTGCTCCACATTGAGATAACCATGGTTTTACAGAAAGAATCCTGGAGTTCCAAGACTCATGATTAAATCCCACTTATAAGCTCTTATCATTTCAGGTTATTTATTTATTTGTTTATTGCTTTCTAAGGGGGCCAGACTTTAAAAGCAGGGAAAAAGCAACATTTACTATCAGAATTTGCATGGGACACAAAAGGGACTTTGAAGTAAAGCATTATTAAGGGTGGAAACCGCTCTAGAGATTAGCTACTTTTTTCAACTCTCTCGAGGGCCACACTGTGAATGAATATGCAGGAAGGGGAAGATGTTTATGGACCTGATATTCTGCCAGTAAAAACATACAAGCTGTTAAACATTGAAAAACTCTCAAACTAGTTGATAAGTTCCATTCCACCCCAGGCTCTTAGCCCCAACCCCTCCATCCTTATTCTAGGTCTTCATCGACTTTCAGGGTTTCCTACGCAGCAGCTGGAGTAATGCCAGATGGTGCGTGCTGAGGTACTGCTCAGGTAACAGCCTCCCATTTAGGAGCTCTGTTCTAGTTGATCAGACCCTTGCTATGGTGACTGTTGGCCATTTTAGACAGGCGAGTGCGCATGCCTGTGCGTGTGTGTGTGTGTGTGTGTGTGTGTGCATGTGTGTGGATGTGGGTGTGCCTGTATGTGTATATCTCCCTGCCTCTCTTTTTCTGCTTCTTCCGCACAAGGATTCCATTCTCCTCTCTCTGACACAAGATTTCATGTTCTTATCACTAGTTTCTCTTCCTTTGTCACCTAACCCTGCATAGGATTACATGACCTGTCCACTTCCTGACATTCAGCTTGTTTCTAGCTTCCAGTTTCAATTTCCTGGTGTCAGAAACCACATTGATCCAGTTAACTTTTCTATCCAAAGTCACATCACTGAGCCCTAGCTATCTGGGTCTGACCACCAGCAAAGCAGGGTAGGGGAAGATGATGATTCAGCTTCCCTTGGAAGAGTATGACATTGATCTGTACAGAACAAATAGTTTTCATAGAAAGCAATTCTGGATTCATCTGTAAAAAATTTCTTGAAAGAGCTTGGAACATAGTGGAAAGTCAGAAGGGTCTGAAGCTGACTCTGTGAGAAGCTAGAAGTTAGTTCAAGACCAGTTCCATCACCTACTACTTGTGATGTTAAACTTAGAGAATTCTCTGGGCTTCTATATCTTATAGTGCAAAGTGAAGAGGAGTAGATTTCTACTTTATGAGACTACTGTGAGATTGAAATAAGAAGTTCCCTGTGTGTGATGGTAAAGATTAAGAGCTTTGGGGTCTATCAGACCTCTTCCTCTACTCATTAGCCAGAGGATTGGGGACAAATAATATAAAAGCTTATAACAAGCAATCCCCCAAAATTGGAGTTGAGGTTACTGGAAAATTGAGGCAACTCACATAATTTGAGACAATCCCTGTCCAGGTTGGAGAGGGAACTCTAGCTGGTGAAGCCTGTGAAACTTTCTTTCTAGGGCACTACCACAGGACGTGCATTCTACTCCAGCTTCACAGTTCTACAAAGAAGCATCTGACTGGCTCGGCTTTGGTTACTGTATGCAACAGACTGAATGTTTATGTCCCCACCCCCAATTCATCTGCTTAAATCTGATCCCCAATGTAACGGTATTTGAACAGGGGCCCTTTGGGAGGTGAGTGGGTTATGATGGTGGAGCCCTCATCAACAGCATTAATGCCCTTAGAAAAGACGTCCCAAAGAGTGCCTTTGCTCCTTCTACCAAGTGGAACACAGAGAAAAGATTCCTTGTCTATAAACAAGGAATCAGGTCCTCACCAGTTAACCCAAATCTGCCTGCACCTTGATCTTGGACTTCCAGCCTCCACGACTATAAGAAACAAATCTCTGTTGTTTGTAAGCCACCCAGTCTATAGCATTCTATGACTATCAGGTTGCTAACATTGTACTGTATTCCATAAAGCAGAGAGAAGTATAAGAAATGGCCCTGCCTTTCAGAATCTTTTTCTTTTATACTTTAAGTTCTGAGGTACATGTGCAGAATGTGCAAGTCTGTTACATAAATATATGTGTGCTATGATGGTTTGCTGCATCCATCATCCCACCATCTGCATTAAGTATTTCTCCTAAAGCTTTCCCTCCCCTATCCCCCACAACTGTTATCCCTCCCTGGTCCCTCACCCCAACAGACCCGTTGTGTGATGTTCCCCTCCCTGTTTTCATGTGTTCTTATTGTTCAACACCCATTTATGAGTGAGAATATGCTGTGTTTGCTTTTCTGTTCTTGTGTCAGTTTTCTGAGAATGATGGTTTCCAGCTTTATCCATGTCCTTGAGAAGAACATGAAATCATCCTTTTTTATGGCTGCATAGTATTGCATGGAGTATATGTGCAACATTTTCTTTATCCAATCTATCATTGATGGGCATTTTGGGTGGTTCCAAGACTTTGCTATTGTGAACAGTACCACAATAAACATACATGTGCATGTGTCTTTATAATAGAATGATTTATAATCCTTTGGGTATATACCCAGTAATGGGATTGTTGGGTCAAATGGTATTTCTTCAGAAGGTGTCCTTCCAGAATCTTACAGTGTAGATGAGGAAAATAACAATGCATAATTACAGGCTTGATTTTATAATACAGATTACAAGTACAAAAGGACAAAGTGGAGCACCTTAATAGAGGGAGGGGTGATGGCAAATGAAAAAAAAAATTCCAAGAGACAAATAGAAGTGTTGTAAGAAAAATAATTTGGAAAAAATTGATTTTGAGGCTAGACTAGAAAGTAATTTTCTATTCCATTTCCTGAGCAGTCTCATACCCACAACAAAAATAGACTTATTTATAATGCCATTGATTGCCTTGTATATAGAGTTAAGAATATAAAAAAGGAGGGGGCACATTCCATTTTGACAGATGCAGAAATAATAAGAAAAACGCAGTCATCATTCCTCCACTGCTCCCTCTGGATCTTTTCTGTTTTCTCTGACTCTCTGCCTTGCCAAGCAATTTAGTTTTATCCCTACGAATGAAGCAATTTACATGATTTGAGTTTGGCTTTGTTTGTGTATTACTGAGAAATGCCCTATACCTCCATCATCAATTACCTTGAACAATATTGTGAGGATTTATTTGAAAATAGATTTAAGCAAAATGTATCTTTCACACACACAGAGAATCCAACTATAGTATTAGAAGATAAATTAACGTTTCCACTAATCTAATCCAGGCTGTCTATGAAACATTTCTTAATAAGATAGTCTAAAGGGCTGCATTCTGCTTATGCACCAGCCTGTGGATTTTTGCCAGGGCTCTGCCTCTCACCTCCACTTTATGTTCTTTCTCACACAGGCATTTCAGTATTGGTGCATTCTGATTTCCTGCAGTGAGAGGTGATTTCATAATGAACAGTCCCCAGCGCAGCAAGGCCAAGGATAGCTTGGACATGACACCTTCAAAGGAAGTCTCAGTTCTAGAGCTTAGAGACTGGAGGGTGTGTGTGTGTGTGTGTGTGTGTGTGTGTGTGTGTATGATGCTAAGGCTTCCTTCAAAGAGCTAGCTGGTCCAGGAAGAAAAATTTTGATCTTGTTTCTTCCTTATTCCACAAGAAAGTAAAAACAGCCAGCATTTTTCATACTGTCTTCTGGGATTTTTATACCTATTAATACTCACTAAAGCTTCAAAATAACTGAGTAAGGTCCATAGGATTAGTATCACCATTTTATAGATGAGAAAACTAAGGCACAGAGAGGTTAAGAAAGCTGGCCGGATGGATGAACTGGTGGTACACTCTGGAGGCAGGTTTTGAACAGAGGTAATTTGAATCTAGAGCTTGTTTCACTGTGTATTAGATTTCTGAGTTTCATGTGCAGGTTTGCCACATGGCTATATTGCATAACGGTGAGGTTTGGCCTTCTGGGGTACTCATCATCTGAATAGTGAGCATTGTACCCAAGCTTAGTATACAGAAATAATAATGTTACAGTATACAGAAATACTATAATGTACAGAAATAATATTCTGTATATTCTTTTTTTTCCAGCCTTCCCCCTTTTGGAGTTCCCAGTGTCTTCTCCCTTCTGTAGGCCCATGTGTACCCATTGTTCAGCTCTCACTTATGAGTGAGAACATGTGGCACTGGGTTTTCTGTTTCTGAGTCATTGCGCTTAAGATGATGGCCTCCAGTTCCATCCATGATGCGGATGCTGCACAATGATTTTATTCTTTATAATGTCTGTGTAGTATTTCACAGGGTTTATGCTCTTAATCCCTTAAATATGCTACCAGAAGACGTTTTTGAGGACCTCATACACACACCCGCACCCAGAATATGATCCTGAAAAAAATTTGTTTAAATATAGTCATTAATTAAAATACTCAATTTCAGATCCTTGGCTCCAGACAAAATGGCTACACAGATCAACTTGCCTTTTTATTTCTTCTCTACCCCATTTACTGTCAATGATTTTCCATTCCCATTCCCACCAATGAATACTACTATGCTGTACAGATAGGGGAGCT